ACTAGTAGGTTCATTGAATCATTATCTTAAAATAAGAGTACCTTATCACTCATACAGACATCTGGTGATATTTGTATTATTTAAAATGTGCTTGGCTGGCAAATATATATTAAATATGAAATGAAATAGGGTTAAAAGTCTTACTGTTCTGCTCCGGCTGGGCTAATGAAGATGAGCAAACACCATACAGTGTGCTATGAGGGAAATTTTGGCTGGACCTGGAAAACAGCACTATGGCTTAATCTTATTATATCGAATTCCAACTGTCAAGGGCTGTTTTACATGTAACGTTTACACGGAACCTCGATTTTTCGGCCTATTTTGTCTTTCTAATTTGAACATTTTCTCTAATCAATGGTTGTGTAATTAAGTTCCAACTGCCAAAGAAATCTTAACAATAATTTCAAATGGCCTACCAAAACATCATTCTTGAAGATCTAGCTACAAAAAAAATATAGGATAAAGGACTTTGAAAAGCAACATATTAATAAGATTAAGATCATTCTTGTCCCGAAAAATAGTAAAATCATTTAGTAAACAAGACAGAAATAGCATATACTTAAACATACATTATGCCAGAGCTAAATCTGCCTATTGGAAATGCAGGTCTTTCTTTTGGCCTCAAAAGTTATCTAAATTATTAATTAGACATTAATTAACTTATCCAGACTATAATCAACTCTCGATGTCATCACTAGCCTGCAATATTTACTGGATTAGAATCTGATCTGCTGCTCTACGCTCATTCATGATTAAATCAAGAAATGGATAATCGAGACTATGTATTTTATCATACCAACTTTAGTAATAAAATCGAGGCTAGGCCCCAAATTCAATCGCTAAATTCTCAGTTCAGAGTGGATCAATCTGACTGGAATTTTTAGCAAATTCCCTTTACATTATCTAGTTTTTTTTAACTATTATAGTGAGAACTGCCAGCTCTTTATCTAATCTCCCATAATGTATCTTTAATGTTTTGGTAAAGAAAAGCATGTAGAATAGATGAACAAGATAAGCTCATTCATATCTTGATCTATTTTAAGTAACTTTGCTACTGTGCCAACACTCAACAAATTGACCTACCAACCTATTAACTTACATAACTGCATGTGTATTTGTGTTTATCACCCAATAATACATTCTACAGTAGATATTGCTTTACATTAATTTGATTGGTCAGTTGAAAAGGAACTACTTTTTTTTATTTTCAAAGAACAGTTCATTTCTTATTAAAAGTAACTTTTTTTTTTATTAAAAATAAACTATTGTTATTCAATTGACCTTGATGGAAACACTGGGTCAATATAAAGGACTTCGCAATGGTTGAATTGCTGTCCAAAAATGATGTATCACTACGCTGTAATGTTCAGTAAAAGTGAAATCTACAGCAAAGAATTATATTTATCTATTTGTGCATGTAAGAAGGGATTGGGTGATAAATAAAATCTCCTACTCGTCTTTTTTGATACCAAAAAATATCAACAGTTGTTTATAAAGTAAAAAAAAACTCGGCAGAGCCTCGTTTTTTTGTTACTTTATCAGCTTGTGTTGATATTTTTTGGTATCAAAAAAGACTGGTAGGCGATTCTCTATTTGTTGAAAAAAACACTACAGTGATCTAATTATGATTAAAGATGCATTCAATTTCAACAAGATAACCAACCTAATTAATTTCTATTTATTACATGTGTATGTTGAAAATCCAAGCAGGGTATTCAGACAAATCCAAGTTACATATTCAGACATGCTTGACAAGTCTAAACGTGTATAATTAAGTGTATACTGTATACACTGTAGGTTATGGAACATGATTTTAATTTTATTTAAAACAAGTCAACACTGAGGCAGATGTCCCCTGCTGAAATCCCCAAATATATAGATGACATATATTGATTAATTGCACATTTACCTTTTTCAAAAGTATTGAGCAATTAAACTGGTTATCTAAACTTAGTCGAACTCTAAGCGGGAAATGTTCACGATGAAACTCAGTCAATATTTTGAAGTTCCTGGTACATGTATAAAACTATACTTTAAGTTTCATCACTCTCCATCAGTTAGAATCAAAGTTATCTTGTCCCAAAGCATCGACCAATGAAATTGTTTACCTCTTTTAGTGCGAAATGTTAATCATTAAACTAAGTCACCTAATGAACATCTACATCAAGTTTAAACATTCTACCTCAATTAAAATTGCTTATAGTTACTTAGCCTAAGCAGAAAATGCTCATTATCGAACTTAGTCAAGATATTGATGTAATGAAACTATAAACCAACTTTCATCAATCTCAATTAGAACCAAAGTTATCGTGTCCCAAAGCATCAAGTAACCAAATTGCTTATCTATGCTAACCCCAAGCAGAAAATATTCACCTTTGAATTACGCCAAGGTATTCACCTAATGAATGCCTATACCAAGTTTAAACATTCTACCTCAATTAAAATGCCTACACCAAGTTTGAATATTCTACCTCAATTGGAAGGAGAGTTTTTATGTTCCAAAGACTCGACCAATCAAATTTCTTATCGCTCTGCTTAACCTGAACAGAAAATGCTCATTATTGAACTTAGTCAAGGTATTGGTGGAATGAAACTATACACCAAGTTTCATCACTCTCACTTAATTGAAACTAAAAAAGTTAGGGTGTCCCAAAGCATCAACCAATCAAATTGCTTATCTCTGCTTACACTAAGCAGAAAATGCTCATCTACGAACTCTATCAAGGAATTGTGTTTCAAAGTCTCGACCAATCAAATTGCTTATCGCTCTGCTTATCCCCTCGGCATAAAATATTCATTATCGAACTTAGTCAAGGTATTGATGTGATGAAACTGTACACCAAGTTTCATCACTCTCACTTTATAAGAACTAAAGTTATCATGTCCCAAAGCATTAATCAATCAAATTGCTTATGTCTGCTTACCCTAAAACAGAAAATTTTCATCTTCAAACTCAATCAAAACATTCACCTAATAAACACTTAAACCAAGTTTGAACATTGTTGCTCAATTAGGAGAGTTATTGTGTTCCAAAGACTCGACCAATCAAATTGCTTATCGCTCTGTTTAGTCTGAGCAGAAAATAGTCAAGGTATTGATGTAATGAAACTATACACCAAGTTTGATCACTCTCACTTAATCAGAACTAAAGTCATTGTGTCCAAAAGCATCAACCAATCAAATTGCTTATCTCTGCTTACCATAAGCAGAAAATGCTCATCTTCGAACTCCATCAAGGCATCAACCTAATAAACACCTATGTACACCAAGTTTGAACATTCTAGCTCAATTAGAAGGAGAGTTAGAGAGTTATTGTGTCCCAAAAAGTGTGACAGACGAACGGATGGACGGAACGGACGAACCCATTTTAATAGACAATAAAATACACTGTAAATACTTGGGGGTTTTGTAACTCACTTGAAATTGAAAGCAGAGGAACAGCTAACATGACATATTAATATTGTCATTTATAAAGCATGATAATATTGAAGAACAGTTTCTAAGGGGCTCTTCAGTGTTTTATTCGCTCTATTTACAGATCAGGGTTTTGAAACAAGAATGTTTTGAGTTTAGCTTTAACATGGCCCACTGATTATGTTTTCCAGCTTTTAATTATCTTTCAAGTCAATAGTTGAAGAGTATAGAAGGTTTTTTTCTGAGAACAAGACTTTTGATTTTAAAGACAAAGAGAGTAACTTAATTGTTTGGTAGGGATTGCAATACAGGGGGGGGGGGGGGGCAGGTTTTCAGACAGGAGGCGAGGGGGGGGTGCAGGTTTTCAGACAGGAGGCGAGTCGTATAGATTGTTAGTCTCTGATATAGCCTAGTCGGGTGAGCTATATTAGTAAACCATTAGTGGTACCTAGTTCATTTTAGTTGAGGTGAATGAGTATTTCTTCATTTTAATAATTGAGATAGATAGCATTGGATTATTTAAACTTGTATTATGCAAGAGCTAAATCTGATTATTGCAAGTCTTAATTTAGGGTTCAGATGTTATAGAAATTATAAATTAGATCTTTATTTAAACAACAAGACCAAAATCAACTCTGTAGACCCACGGATGGCTCGGCTACAGCTCGGATTTAAATAGGATTTCACTAATTGATTAAATCAGATAAGGGGTAACCTGATGAAAATACGTCAGTTAGATCGAGGCTAAATGATAGAGTGTACTTAGCGAGGCCGCTGTAAAGCGTTTCCGTATGCCATTGAAAACTTTACTTGATAATCGAGATATGTAGGTGGAGTTAACGCCTGTCAATCAAACGGTCAGCGAAGGTGAAGACACAATTCGCTACCATTTCTAGGCAAATATTACAACGATGATAACTATGTTCAGAATAAAGTAATTTGACTGAATTTTTCAATATATTCTTCTTTCATCATCTACTTTTGAACTGTTATAGCAAGAATGGCCAACTCTCTACAAAAATCTCCCATAATGTATTTTTAAGTGGGTTTACAAGTAAGTTACCGGTACTTAAATTTCCCAGATGACTTTTTAACACCCAAGCAGGGGTCAAAACTGAATAGTAAGGCCACATGCAGATTTCATCAAGGTCACAATGGGGCTAGCACTAACCCTATATTATAACCCTTAGCCACAATCCTCGGCAACACTCACCTGCCCTGACCCTGTTACATCTTGAAAAAATCTGCAGGTGGCCTTAATATTTAGATCTAACCCTTAAAAGTAGCCACTCACCTTTAGTGACTACTGCAGCGTAACGAGCTACGAGAACGAGACCTGGTCGGTTTGTTTCTACCTACAATTTGAAAACAGTTTCACCTTGCGAACTCATTTTGTTTAGGCTATAGCATATTATTGTAAAGCCTGTAAAATAAGATACTGTTACTGTTGTATTAAAGAATTAAATTAAGCGATTACCGTTTGAACTCGGTGTGTAATATGAATGTGAGTAACGCCGTGCCCTCGTCGCTGTTAACTGATATTCAGGGGTTTTCGAAACTGAATAATAAATATTAGATCTACGTACATAAATAGGTTTTCTGTATTCACGTGAATCACTTATTCTTTCACTTCATCGACACAGGTTACGCTTGCCAAATTCGTTTGTATTCTGAGCCGATTTTGACACTTTGTTTACAATCGTGATGTCATTGGCCTTCTTAGTATCTTTAATCGGATCATTGATCATGCGTGTCTGAGCGGGGTGTTCGCGCCACCAAATGCCAAAAAAATGCGTCTTTTTGATCGAGATTGAAGGCTGCGTAAAAAGTCACTCGGCAAACCTCGGCAGATTCCGGTACCACTCGGCAAACCTCGGCAGATTCCGGAACCCTACTTTAGACGTAGGGTACTGGAATCTGTTGAGGTTTACCGAGTGATTCCGGTACCCGTACTGGAATCTGTATAGGTTTGCCGAGTGCGTTAAAAGTCAGCCATGTACGTCTTGATAAATCATACTGGAACGAAATAAAATTTATTCTATCGACTACTTGTCCGATGGCTGAGCATGTATGGCGGTATATTAGATTCAAAATTCTAACGTGCTATCGTCTAATTTGTAACTTCTGATCACTTAATTTTTAACTTCTGTTCGTTTTATTCATGTAATTTAGTAGGCTATAATATAACTTCTATCATGTAATTTTTTTTAAAATTAAGACAATTCATAACCCAACTTCTTTATTTGTTCAATGTGAATTTTAATTTTATTTCATCTTATTTCTATTATTTAGGCGAAAAACGTCTTCTTCATTGATGATGGCATCAGATTTCTCCGATATTAAATAGATTAGAACGGTTCAGACATATTTTGATTTAAATTAATCTAAAAATGGAGGAGCGAGACTTAGCTTCGAACAACCAGTACGGTGGTTGAAATTATTGCACACGTCTTGTCAAACCTTCAAAGGCTATAAATATCTTCGCTCGCAATAGAGTAATTTGAATGAAATTTTCAAATTATTCATATTTATACGCCCACATGAGAATGTGGTCGTATATTGCCGTCGCCCCCGTCAGTCCGTCCGTCCGTCCTGCATCGTCCACAATTTCTCGTGAACACTCTACAGACTACATTTATCATATGGTTGTTTTGAAATTGATATATGTTGTTTGCATTAGTGAGATGAAGAATCCTATTAAATTCCAATAACTTCCGTTAATTTCTTCTGGAGTTATGGCCCTTGTTTCACTTTGTTGCGCCTTGTGAACGCTCTAACGACAAAAGTTATCAACCGATCTGTATGAAAGTTATATGCATCATTTAAATTGGTAAAACAAAGAAGCCTATTGAATTTCAGCAATTTCCGTTAATCACATCTAGAGTTATGGCCCTTGTATCCAATCTGTTTGAAATTGATATGCATCATTTAAATTAGTGAAATGAAGAATCCTATTGAATTTCAGCAATTTCCGTTAATTACGCGTGAGTTATAGCCCTTGTTTCACAAAAGTTATTATCCGATCTGTATGAAATTTATATGCATCATTTAAATTAGTAAAAAAAAGAAGCCTATTGAATTTCATCAATTTCCGTTAATTACATCTAGAGTTATGGCCCTTGTTTCACTTTGATGAATCTTGTGAACGCTCTAATGTCAACAGTTATCATCCGATCTGTTTGAAATTGATATCCGTCATTTAAATTAGTGCAACGAAGAATCCTATTGAATTTCAACAATTCCCGTTAATTCCGCCGTGAGTTTGTTGTACCTTGTGAATGCTTTAACGACAAAAGTTATTATCCGATCTGTATGAAATTTATATGTTTCGTTTAAATTAGTAAAACGAACAAGCCTATTGAGTTTCAGCAAATTTCCGTTAATTACATCTAGAGTTATGGCCCTTGTTTAACTTTGTTGAATCTTGTGAACGCTTGAATGACAAAAGTTATCACCTAATCTGTATGGAATTATATGCATCATTTAAATTAGTGAAATGAAGAAGCTTATTGAATGTTAGCAATTTCCGTCAATTACTTCTAGAGCTTTGGCCCTTGTTTTACTTTGTTGAACCTTGTGAACGTTCGAACGACAAAAGTTATCATCCGATCTGTATGAAATTTATATGCTTTATTTGAATTAGTAAAACGAAAATGCCTGTCGAATTTCAACAATTTCTATAGATTACTTCCAGAGTTATGGCTCTTGTTTTAGTTTCTAGAAACTCGTGAACCCTCAAACGACGAAAATTATAATGTCATCTGTATGAAATTGTCTATTAAATTCCCCTAATTACCTACAAAAGAATAAATATGCGACAACCCTTGTCGACTGCCAAGACGATTGAGCTGCTGTGGGCGTATGTTTTGTTGCCTGGCAACATATCTTATATGATCTATTTTCGAACTATTATAGCAAGAATGGCTAGACCTTTACCTAAATCTTACATAATGTATTTTTAATTTAAAAATTACATGAATAGAAGTTAGAAATTAGGCTACACGAATAGAAGTTTAAAAATTACATAAACAGAAGTTAGAAATTAGACGATAGCACGTTAGAATTTTTAATCTAATATACCGCTTAAACTTTAGGCCTATGTTAGTCTTTTTCCAACAACATTTTATTCAAGTTGCATAAAGCGATACAATAATTTCATAGATAGCGGTGTTCTTGACGAAATTTACCAAAACGAAATAGGGTTTATCGTCCTACTTTTCATCACCAACTAGGCTAATGAAGACGGACTTGCGCCATACAGTGTGCCATGGGTGAAATTTAGCCCGGACAGCGGCACCGACAGCCTCCGCAAATTACAGGGACGGAAGTAATTATGACAGAAATATTATAAACTTAGTTTTGCCAATGTGTATACTTCAAAAAAAAAGTAGGGGATATTCAGAAACAATACAAAACTGCGGAAATGCACTGCTGTTTTTATTAGAGGTAACCAGTGTATGTTAATAACATGCCAATTGCCTACACATGAATATAAACAGTTTATATGGGTGGCTTATCTTACGATCCCATTTCACTCGCAAAGAGATACACTGTTAAAAGTGAAAATGGACGTTTTTGATTTTTGTCTTAATTATGAGTAATTGATCCACCAATCCTCAGACATTCAGCAATTCGTCGTGGCATGCTCCTAATCAACCGTCCAATCACGATTTGGGGCAATCTGACCCACTCCTCTTGCAGTGCCACGGCCAATTCTTGCAGTGTTGTCGGTTGACGTTGACGTCGACGAACACGTCTCCCGATCAAAGTAAACTTAACACACTAAAGCAAAGTGGTTCTGTTGGGGCGATAAGTTCTCCATCTGTGAACATACTTTTAAAGCATGTCAAGTGTTCATGACTATTTATCATATCACAACCTGCATATGTATTTGCATTTCAATATCCCCTACTTCTTTTGAAGAGTATATAACCTATATATATATATATATCATTTCATTGATATAACCGATATCTTCCGGTGTGGTTCTCCCTCCCTTGTTAATGATACAGGACGGGGACAGTGGCTGGTCGTTCGGATGGTATAAAGAGATATTTTTTATAGCAGTAAACGAATATAGACCAACAGTATATAAATATTAATTGACTTAACTGTAAAAAAACCAAAAAAAACCAAAAAAACCAAATCAGATAAAATTCTCCAAATCCTGCACTTGTCTTAAAAAAAATGAACAAGTGCTGTTTAGCTTATATTTGAAAACCGTATCACGTTCGTTGTTGTTTTCAATTTTAACACTCCGCCAAACCATTCAACCTGACGAAGAGCAAGTCGTTTGTATCAACATAATAGTCCCGCTCTGGTGCTCAATCGGCACTTTGAGCACACTGTGGCGACACCAAACGACGTCATAATTAATGGGGAGATTAACTGCCAGGGGTTTGTATGACTCAATTCTATGTCCTTGGTTAGATTGGAGATGTTGGGCTGTAGCTGAGTTCGTAGTAGAGGATTTGGACCTATGTTGACTCACTCTTTTGTCCAGGGGCTATCTAGTTTCTCCTATGTATTTACTATTACAGGAACAGGCAATTTCATAAACACAGTCTTTTGGAGGTGATGGTTTGTTAAGAGGAAGCTTACCATTTGCCTTTAGGATGTGTTGTAGGGTTCGTCCTTTAGAGAAGGTGACTTGGATCCCTATTGGTATGAGGAGTCTCCTAAGATAAGATAACTTCCCTTGAAATGGTATGGTGATTCGTACTGGTGGTTTGTCAGGTTTTGGTTTAATAGTTTCCGTGGGACTGTTAGTGGTAGTCTTGATGGTTTTCTGCACTAATTGGTTTGGGTAGTTGTTGTATTTGGTGAGAACTTCTTCAATGTGGTCAAGTTCTATTTTGAGGGAATCTTTGCAGTTGTTGATGGCACGACTTGCTAGTGCGGCTATGGTAGATGTCTTCATCCTGTGAGGATGGTTAGACTTAAAGTTAATGTATTGGTCGGTATGTGTGGGTTTTATATACACGCTGGACATCTTAACTAGGACATCTAGAAATGGGAGGCATTGTTTCTTTTCTTTTTTTATGGCAAATTTAATTGTTGTTTTGGCTATTGAGGTAATGAAGGAGGATGTTAGAATTTACGTTCTGTTGGAGGATGCCGTGGGTTGGACTGCTGAGGTTGATAGGGCACCCTTCTCAAAACTTGCCATGTAGATATCGCTAAGAATGGGCGACAGGGGGCTTCCCATCAGTAGTCCGTGTATCTGTTTGTAGTAGTATCCTCACCTGGAAAAGTAGGTAGAATCTATACAAGATTTGGTAATATATATATAATATATAAGGAAAACTATGTTTGTCACTTCCTGTTTCTTAAAATCACTGTTACGCACATACCGTAGGAATGATCCCAGTGTTAAAATTATATTTTGAATGTGTTTAACCAATTCTATTACATAGGTAATGTTGACTAACACCAACATTGTCCTTTAAGGGAAATGAAATGAAATGGAGTTTAACGTCCTACTGTTCTGCTCCTAACCTGGGCTAATGAAGACGGGCATACGCCATACAGTGTGCTATGAGGGAAATTTTGCCCGGACAGCGGCACTACGGCCTACTCTTATATCGAATTCCAACTGCCAAGGGATCTTTTACGTGCACGCCAATGTGTACACGGGACCTCGGTTTTTCGTCCCATCCGAACGACTAGACAGCTTTCCTGGTCAGCCCCTTCGTCCTGCATCACTGACAAGGGAGAACCACG